TTTTGTAGCATAAGTGCTTATGGCGTTCCAGGCAGCTTCTGACGACAACATTCCTTCTACTATTGACTCTGGTTGGGTTTTCTTTTTTTTTAGAATCTTCTCTAACCCATCGCGCTGTTGGTTGAAACGTGGACACACAAAGAAAACATGCTCCTCATCTTCATTGACCCATGGACAGGACGGCACTCTTGGGTATCATCGTGCTTGAAGCGGTTAAGATACTTCCGGTAACATCCATGTCCTGATAACATCTGCGTTAAATAATAGTTGATCTCACCGTGACTCCGGTTGAACCACACATCAATCCGAGGTATGAGACGGTACGTCCACTGACCTTTGTGGCATTTCACTCTTGTTGCCATCTTGCGATGCTGTGTTGCCGTTCTTCCCTTCTTAGTTCTGAAACGGGGTGTTTTGTTTCCCTTGATCGCCCCTTTTACTCTTAAGGGCGCCACTGGATTTTTGTTCTCAGTTTCCAGAAACTGGACCAGAACATGGAGTGTTAGGTCAGGGTCGTGAGAGATTTGTTGAAAGGAGCTAAGATTAAGACACAGAAATTCATTTAACAAAAATTATTTATTTATCCAATCCCTCTTACAACTGAAATATGGCCAGTATTACAATATATAAAATTTCATGGATACAAACCACACTCACACTCACTCACATACGGTATATTTCTCGCTGTCCAGCTAGACCCTCATGTGGTTGCAGTCCCCGATGCCTACTGGACTCTCACGATACTCTATCTACTTCGCGTCGTCCCCTGGACCTCTAACGCTACTCTAACTTAGTTCGCGCGGTCTCACGGACTCTCACGCCACTGAGCTGGACCTCTGACGTGACTGCACACGTTGTCCACACAGCGCACGCTGTCCTCCAAACTTCACGCTACTCTAAGAGACCTACCCGAAGTTGGATAATCTCTTTACTCTCACACAAACACACTCAAAGCCAATTCCTCAATAACAATAATAATAAGAGCGCTCGAATTACAAAATAAAACAATTTCCATAATATTATTTACCTAATTAACAATTCCTTAATAAATAATTATCATTTCTTCTAAATACTAATTTACTGCCGTGTTCTTAATATTACGACACTAAATATTTAAAACAAGAGGTCTTAGTATCTTGAATTAATCCTAATTGTTATGTCCGAGAAATTTATTAAATAAATTTTAATTCTTATTTCGTAAACTTAAATGAAATTCCGGCAAATTGAGTAAACCTAAACTGAGTAAACCTAAATTGAGTAAGAATGTAAATATTTTACATTCTTTAATTTGATCCAAATTAATTTATTCCGAGTTAATTCATTTTACCCAGTATCGGCGGTAATGTTACTAGACTTATTCTTCGACGTAAAAGTTAAATTTCGACAAGAGATTATCCTACTGTATTTATTTTGTGTTTCTTAAAACTTAACTTTCAGAATTTACGAAACATTTTATTTCACTCGAGTTTATTTCAATTCTAACCGACAGAGACTTTCGTTGCGACCTTGGATGACCTCTACTTAGTGTTTTCTCGCACGGACAAGATGGCCGACGCTCTCGCTCGGTCTAGCGTCTTTGTCGCAAGACACATGTAATTTTTTTCTGATGAAATTTTTGCACATCTTTATATTCTCTATTTTCTTGACTAATTAATCTAGATTTACAATTCTATTGTTTTAAACGAATATTTCCTGAATCTACAATAAATTTTAGTTAAGACATTTATTAATTTTGTGCGCCAATTAATTTACTAAAATAGATTTTACTGTCGAATCAATGCCGGTCTTAAATAATCTGAATTTTACGGTTTACTCAATTCTATTTTCTATTGGCTTAAGCCAAATTATTATTTACTGATTCTCGATTAAATAAATTTTACGCATGGCGAAAATCTGGAATTAATAACCCGACTTAATGCCTAGTATTATCAACCCAGACAGGCCTACGTGTAAAATAAGTAATAACAACGACAAGTTACTTTTTTTTAAACAAATTAATTGATAACTCGAAAACCTGTCCTAGTATTATCAATTATTTGTTTTATAATTTGTCCAATATTAATATTAACCTTAATTAAATAATATAATGACCACCGATTGTGACCGAACGCGAAATGGCGGTGACTTTCAGCCGACGTGTTGCCTGGCTGACGCCGCCGACCCGAGCAACATAATCAGACATGATAATTGTACTTGGAGTTTTACGTTTTATTATCTTAACACTCGTGCACTCCCTCGACGAGCTGCAACTCCTTTTTACAGGCTGGTGTAAGTTTTTCCTTGGAATAAATCCTCGGCAATTATCTCCTCGGGTTACTGGTTGGCGGCGAAATTTCGGTCATCGTCACTCGTGTTCTGGATATCTCTCTTGAACCTGTGCTCAGTTCTTACTAAAAGTTGCGATGTGTCTAACGAGACTGTTCGGTCACAATGAGTCTTCTCGGTCTTGTCGTTGTAGTTATTTCTTCACTCTGCCTTCCCCACTCTCTCTCTCGGCGCCAGCGCTTCCCCCTCGGGGACTTACTTACTACTTCTAAACGAGCTTTAGATCACAGCGCACTGTGAGCAGTCGATAACTAACTAGGTACCGAAATGGGGAATTTACCGAGTAACGATCACTCCGTTACAGTTCTTTAGGGCTGAGTGTGGTTGACCTTTTTCGTTGATATAGGTTCCATCTTTCCTCAGCTAGGACTCTGAGAGGCAGAGTACCGGAAATAATACACACTGCTTCCTCTGATATTGTGCGGAAGGCGCTAGCTACTCGTAGGGCACTCAGTCGATATACTGGTCCAGCCTTTCTCCAAGATTCTCGCGTCTTTAGTGCGTCGGCCCAAATGGATATTCTGTAAGTGAGCACCGATGTGACTACTAATGACAATAATAGCCTCCTGCTCTGCTTTGGGCCTCCGACGTTCGGCATCAGTCGTGCGACACTAGCCCTCACTGACGCTTTGGCACTGACATGTTCCACTTGCTGCTTGAAGTTCCCGCATAAAAAAAAAAAATATATTTTAAAATATAAAAATTATATATTTTAAATATATAAAAAATACATAAAAAATATATAAATTATATATCAAAATATATGAATTTTATAAAAAAAATCTATTTTTAGTATACAACTTTTGGCCGTTTTAAGTATATATTGTATATATTTTGAATATAAATAAAATATATATAGAATATATTTTGAAATATATAAAATGTATATTTATCAAAATATAAATAACATATATATAACAAATATATCTTCAGACTCATGAAAAATGAAAGTACATAGATATAAAAAAAATATATAAAAAATATATCTTTAAGTATATAAAAAAAATTAGAAAAACGGTTCACCCTAAAGGCCATCCGTGCAACTTTCCGCTTATTTTGTACTTAAACGCTTCAAACTACACATTACGTTTTTGAGCTCTTCGAGCTCAAAAATATTATTTTTGTGTCAATTTGAGCTCTTTGAGCTCAAAACTCTAATAGCAGTTTAAAGACACAATTTTTTGAATTTTCAAACGGCAATAACTTTTGAATGAATAAACCGATTTTCACGCGGTTGGCGGCAATCGACGCAGTTTATAAAGCTCCATGAAAAATTTTCAAGTTTTAATCAATCGAGCCATGAATTTCGAAGTTATTACAAAAAAACACTTTTTTCGATTTTTTTCGGCAACGATATCTCACGAACGCATCATCAGATTCTAACGGTTTTGGTGGCGATCGATGGGGGTTTTCAAGGTTAAGAGCTGATTAGTTTTTGAGACCGATCGGTTCAGCCAATTCGGAGATATTTAAAAAAAATTAAAAAAAAACAACTTTTTTTGCATTTTCTCGAAATCTACCGGTCCGAATCGGTTCAAATTTTCAGGAAATCTAAGTTTAGTGAAGCCCTTTCGAATGACACCAACCGCGATGAAATCGGTGAAGTTGTTCAAAAGTTACAAGAGGTTTACACACACACACACACACACACACACACACACACACACACACACACACACACACACACACACACACACACACACACACACACACACACACACACACACACACACACACACACACACACAC